AAATACATTTCCAGTACTGTACGGTCTTTATAGAAAAAACTCCACATATAAGTGGACCCACGTGGTTCAAACCTATGCTGTTTAAGTGTTGCTTGGAGATACATTTATATGGTAAGGGAATTATTAACACAAAATTCAGAATAATGCTTACCTCCAGGATCAGGGGTACATAAATAAGTGTGGTGGTACTAATAAGATTCTATTTCTGGGGTGCCTGGCTGGCTCAGTTGGCGGAGCATGTGACTCTTGATCTCGGGGGTTGTGAGTTTGAGTCCCGTGTTGGGTATAAAGATTACTTAAAAATAAAATCTTAAAAAAATTCTAATTCTTAGGCTAGGGAGTAAGAACTGAGGCAACAGTTTTATTCTTTCTTAATTCAAACATTTTTGTTTGTATGAAAGATCTTGTGAATAAAGAAAGCCTCATGCTTCGTTTGAAGAAAATTAACTTACATCAGACTTGAAGCATCTATCCCACAAGGCTAATAGAAAATTCCACCTTGGCTGTTATACGGGCTCTCCAATTTGAGAGTTATACAACAGTTTGTTTTTCCCTAACTTGAGGGTTATCCAAAGGTCCCGATGTTCTACATGAGCCAACACATCGAGGAGTCCTCTTTGGCCCAGGATGTAGTAGCTTCCTTCCATGTCCCACAGGCCCTGCTATGTCTGCCCCACGCTTGGCATGCAAGGATCTTTGGGGACATGGGAGCAGGGGAGGGGCCAGGGGTCCCTGGGCTTAGAATTTAGCTTCCTCAGCATATCATGCAGCTAAACCTTCTGAGACCTTTCCAACTCCCCATGTAAATTAGCCTCCATTCTGAGACCTTTCCAACTCCCCATATAAATTAGCCTCCATTCCTGCCTGTGTATCTTTGAACTCTCTGGGGATTCTCACATCAGTGCGAGCTTTCAAATACACACTAACTTTTTAACAAGTTCTCTATTGTTAAAATTCTCCTTGTGGCTTTTATTAGCCTTGAGTAGCTGCCCCTATCTACTTGGGGACAAAATGTCTCAGAGAAAGGATCTCGTATCACCACCAGAGGATTACCCCGTCCCACCTCACCCCCATTCTCCCCTGACGGGGTCTGTATTTTCAAGCCCTTTTCCAGGAAGAAAAATGAAATCTCTACAGAAAGCCATCTCCCTTGTCACTCTCCCCTCCTAAACCTGTTTTTGGCCAGTTTGACATCATTTTTGCAGCAGAATAGATTGTAAGTCATCTTAATTAAATCCAACACAGAGAATCGGTCATTCAAAATAGTTACAAAACTTAATGCCATTTGCTTCTTAGGTCCCCACTGAAAAAGCAGGGTTGCAGTATCATAATTCCTCTAAAGCTGATACAACAAACATCCTTTCTCCCAGTTGAACAATTTATGTACTTGCTTGAGGGGCTATCTAATCTCTCAAACAAAAAACTGTATCTAAAACTTCGGGACACTCTTGCCTTTCACTTTGGTAAATAATTCTATTTTATTTTCTTCCTCAAGGACAACATTCTTTGCCAGATGAGATGCTTCACCCTGACTGGAGAAAGGGAAAGTCTTGGAAAAAGAAAAAGTAAGTCATTAAGCGTGCACTCTCTCTCTCACACACACACACACACACACGCCCAGGCACCATAGATTTAAAGACACAGTGACTCACACCCCTCCATTACTGTTCACCCCAAGGACGTTGATTATCTTTATCTTTATTCCAACTTTATCTTTATCTTTATTCCCAACTACCCTTGGAGAGTGGTCGAGATTTCTAATCACCCTTTGAAGATCCTTATGAGTTTACAATATAAACTCATATTTTAGCTTTCATCCTTCCTCTAACACATCATTCCTTCACGCTCCTGAGCTGCCGGGGCTGCTGCGTAGGTACCAGCCACGCTAGGCTCGGATGCCTGGCTCGCTGGCAGTTCTTTTCCACTTCACTTGCAGTGCAAGATATGGGGCCTCTGCAAGTTCCATTTCACCCCTTCTCCCAGCTGAGATTTCAGTGGGTTTAACCCTCCTGCTGGTGTAGACTCTGACCATCCTTGCTCCATCAGAGCAATCCCTTCCTTGGTCTAGTTTAGGAGCCAGGGTGTAATCTGTGTAGTTCTGGTCAAAAGGAAGCCCAATGACTTTGGTTAAATGCTTAGAGCAGGAGATATCCTGTTTCTTCTCCTGGATATAAGTAAGGAAGCATGTAGCCTTAGGCTGCTTCTAATCAGCTTGTTCCCATGAGGGTATTCAGCCATCAGACCAAGCCAATACCTGGAGAAGGCTCACAGAAGCCCCTGCTCAGTAGCTTGAAGTCCAACTTCTCTTGGGATGTTATGTGAGATAGTGATTGTTTAAGCCACTTGGACTTGGGTTTTCTGCTGCTTGAGACTAATAAATATCCTGATATACTAAATCATCTCTGATCCTAGGAAGTGACTCCAATCAACCCAAGAGGGGCCTCCCTTCCCATGGCTGGGCTGGGTGGGCCTCCCTCAGAGGCCCAAATCCAAGTCTAGCCATTTCCTGCTTTCCTTTCTCCTGTCAATGTTCAGTGCCCATTTCTGGTGACCTTTATTTTCTGTCTCATTTCTTAAAAAACAAACATACAAATAAACAAAACCCACAGAATTAATTTGACTTTTAAAGTTTAATTTAAACTTAATTTTTATTTCAACAATACATGTTTACAAGTTAGATGGCTAAAAAGTTCTTAAAAGGAAAAGAGAAATCTCCACCCTATTGTCCCACCCCAAACTCTCCAGAGGCCATCCCTGCCCGTCCTTTTCATGGTTTTTTCTGGACTGCATCTCCTATTGTTAAATAAGATTTTTCTACAGCTTTTATCATTCTCTAGCTTTAGTTGTTATGAATTTTCTGTGATGGCAGATGGAGACCTAGACTTCTTACACCCCTCCCCCACATACATATCCTCTCATTTCTTAAAAAAGTTATATCACAGTATTTTGTTATTTACATTATTCTCTGTGTAAACATTATTCACAGCTGAGCCATGTAGTGTACTATGATTATATTTCTGTTCTTAAACAACTGTTTCTTTCTGCTAGCATTCAATGATCAGTGTCTTTTCCTTTGCTTATTTTTCTATGTATTTTCACTGGTTCATCCCAAGTTCTTCAAGCAAAATACAAATCCCTCCAATGCATGCAAATCAATTAGTTTCTTGTTTTTCTGCTACCACCAACATCTTATGTTGTTCACCTTTCTCCTGTGTTGGATTCCTTGTTTCCTAGATGCCACATTTTCTTCTATCTTGGCTTAATTGCTTATTTTGGAGGAGCACATCCTCCAGTGGGTTTCTGATAAAAAGTGCAAGGGTGATAAAAGTGTTGAGACCTTTCATACTGAAAATGTCTCTATCTACCCTCTCATTTATTTGTAGGTGTTTTTCATGTTTGGGCCTTCACCCCCTGCCCCCAAAGTGTAGTGGTCATTGACTGTTCATAGTTAAGAGTGAGACTCTAACAGGTTGACTAGATGCTCTCTGAATGGAAGGGATTAGTTGCAGTGTGAGCTTCCCTTTCAGGTAGGTAATAGGGCAGGTGCTGGCTTTTGTGTTGGGAAATCCTCAACAGTCTGTATCTGTTAGTCTTTTTCTTGGGTTGGACAGTTTCCCCACAGGGGGATCCTGCGGGCTCGTGTTTTGACAGGATATGAGTCTATCAGCATTCTGACAGCTGAGTAAGGGAAGGGCCCTGGGGCTCTTGTTTACTATGAAGATATTCCCTTTCTCCCTAGCTTGAGGTCACCACTTCCCTCCCACACTCCACTCTGCCTGAGGTCAATAACTCCAAAGAGAAAATCTTGTGAGAATGAGGAGAGGTAGGTGCCTGGTGGGGAAAGGGAACTTTTATTCACTTTCTACCAATCTTCCTGGAGATTTGTAGGGAGAGTGGTGGCATAAGCACCAGTTAACCCTTCTTCACAGCTATTTTTTAAACCCTTACAAGCTGTGTGAACTTGAACAAGCTTCTTAATTTCTCTGAGCTTCAGGTTCTTCATTCGTAAAGTAGAAACATAAGACTTTGGTGTGAGGGTTAAATGGGGTTTACTGAATGTGAAGTGTCTGGCACAGTCTGCCCAGCATGGAGAGGGCATTCAATTGTTGGTGGTACAGTGGTCTGGGGTCTGGAGGTAGAAGGTAGTAGTCTCCTCAGCTTTGTTTCAGTGGCCAGAAAGAACCCCTTCCCACTATCCAGTTCTTTTCTATACTCCCTCAAAGGAAAGCCACCCTATGCATATTTTGCCAAAATATTAATAGAATTTCAGGGATACAACAACCTTTGCAACTTATCCTCTACCCCACCCTCTCTCTCAGTACCCTGCCGAACACTTAGAGCAACCTCCTCTATTCTGGCTCCCATCCCGATAGATTAATGTGCAAGACTGAGAACTGCAGTGAAGTCAGTCCAAACCCAAAACCCAAGAGTAACCCCCTCTTCTTGGCTATTTCACACGTAATCCCTCCACCCCTAGGCAATGGCCCAGTTCCTTCTCTTACTCTTCCTATCCTTTCTAGCCCCCTGGGACCTTGACTCTGCTTCGTCAAAGGGCAGACTTCTTCACAAAGTCTTTTCAGTGAATTCTTAGGATGCTTTTCTTATCTGCTCTGGAACCTCCTTTAGCTTTGTAAACTGGCTATGCCTTAGGGAATTGAAGATGCAAGAGGAACTGGAGAAGCTGGGGAATCTGAGGTTATCTTAAAGTTAACTTAGAATGCCTGGTGGGACCAAGATCTGGTACAGAATCTGATGAAAAGAAGCACACAATGTGCTAAGTATTTTTTCCCAGTCTAACATTTTAGGTTGCAAGACTAGTGGAGATTTTGCCTGCTACATTTCTCATCTAGACTCAACCACTGAGAACACACCTAATAAAATGTTTGGAGTAGGACTTGATTGACCTTCGTTGGAAATGGTGTAAATACATGGTCATTTGAGACTATGTGTGAATGAAGGTCAGCACAAGGATACAAGAACAGGTCTCACCTCCTAACCCCTTAAACTTGTGTTTCCTTTTTCAACCACATGCATACAGGAATGCTGCACTTCGTCTTCTGTAGGTGATCTTTTCTGAGTGTGGACCTTAGTCTGTCCTTAAAATTTTCCCCAGCAAAGTAATAGAGCAAAGGATTGAGGCAGCTATTGGCTGCTGCCAAGGCCAGTGTGATGACCACTGCTTTATGCAGCTTCTCTTCACATTTATTCACTTTCCACACAAGCAGGTGGAGGGTTCTCAGTACGTGATAGGGCAGGAAACACAGGAGGAAGATGATCAAGGCAATGATGATGGTGATAAGTGCCTTCTTGTGAGAAACCCGCAGACCCGATTCTGGGACCTCCACCTTTAACAGAGCTCGAATGATCAGCAGGTAACAAATGCTGAGCAAGAAGAATGGCAGCAGGAAGCCCATCACCAAGGCAATGTAGTTCATGGTCTGCAGTTTAACAATTTTACTGATATTCAACTCTAAGCATAATACAGCACTGCCCTTCTGCTCAGAGCCATTTTTCAGAAGCAATACCGAGGAAGCCATGATAAGGATCCATATGATCCCACACAGAGTCCAGGCATTCCTGATGCTGGTGACATGGAGGAGCCGGAAGGGATGAACAGTTGCCAGGAAACGCACGATGCTCAGCACAGTCAGGAAATAAATGCTGCTGTACATGTTAACATACATAGAATAAGACATAATCCTGCAGGCCAGGTCCCCAAATATCCAATTGGAGCCTCTGAGGTAATAGTCAGCTCTGAAGGGTAGTGTACTTGTGAATAAGAAATCTGAAATGGCCAGGTTTAGCATGAAAATATTCACAGACGTGGACTTCTTATAAGACTGCAGGAAAACATAGATGGAAAAGCCATTTCCCAACGTTCCCCAGACAAATATTATCAGGTACACAGCGGGGTAAAAATCCATTTTGAAGTTTTCAATTGTACAGTTCCCGTTGCTGTTGTTACTGCTGAAGGTGCCATTGGGTTCCATTTCTGGTATGGAGATGGATGGAGGCAAGGACATAAGTTTTCTCTCCATGCTGGATTAAAAAGAAACAGACATAAGAAGTTACTTCTTGCTCACTACCTACATCTTTCCAGATTTTAATGAAACGGAGAAATACTAGCTTTTCTTTGCTACTTGAGTCAAAAAATACCAGAAAAGTCTTTACTGTATGCTCCATTATATTTCATGATAAATTTCTAGAGTGCAAACTAAATATTACTTTTATCTGATTGAAGCTGAAGCCTCAAACTTGGGAGACTTTTGGCCCAGTGCTTATGTAAATACTGCAGTCTAAATCTACCAGACAGCAGATGTCTCATCAGAATGTATGGAAGACAAAAGGAAGTGACACAACTTTTTCAAGTGCTAAAACAAAAGTCTACCAACCCGGAGCTCTTTATCCAGCAAAAATACCCTTCAAATATGAAGGAGAAGTCAAGACATTCTCAGATGATAGAAAACTAAGAGAATTTGTTGCCAGCAACAAACCTACCCTAAATGAATGGCTAAAAGAAGTCCTCTAGACAGAAAGGAATCAATAAAAGAAGGAACATAGGAACATCAAAAAAGACGTAGATCATGAAAAGCAAAAATATGGCTAAGTACAATAGGATTTTCTTCTCTTTTTGAGTCTAAGTTATGTTTGATGACTGAAACAAAAACTCCAACATTGCCAGTGATTTGATATGATGTAGGGGAAGTTTTAAAGATAATTATATTGTAAATGGGGGAGGGTAAAGGGACACAAAGGAGGTAAGGTTTCCACACTTTACTTGAGTTGGTAAAATGATGACACCAATAGACTGTAAGTGATGTATGTGTAATGTAACGCCTAGAGCAGCCATTAAAAAGCTATACAAAGAGATATGCCCAAGGGGCGCCTGGGTGGCTCAGTTGGTTAAGCGACTGCCTTCGGCTCAGGTCATGATCCTGGAGTCCCGGGATCGAGTCCCGCATAGGGCTCCCTG